ATATGGGATGAAATCGGATAGAGATGAAATCTGGTTTAAGAGTTTTAAGAGTTTTTAAGAGTTTTAGTCAAATGCTTTATAATATAGTATAGATAAATTTGACTTTTTGACTTGTACCGTATATTGTATTGGTGCGTGTGGTTTAATAAAAACCTATGTTTCAAATGCAAAACAAAATTTTATTTTGTATCCTTTATCTTATCTTCATTTTTTTATTCTTTTAAATCACTATATATATATATATATATTTAAATTCTTGTGAGAAGGAGAGTTGATGTGAGAATCGTAATAGGGATTCTCATCATTGAGATGCATTAAGATGTACCGGATCAATCAACGTATCAAACACGATTTATGTATGAATTTGAGATTAAAGGTAATCAAGAGTATATATCTATTCTCACATCAAGTCTCTTTTTCACACGATCATTCGTTTATATATATATATATATATATATATATATATATATGTGTGTGTATGTGTGTATATATAGAGAGATAAAATATACATACATAAAGAGAGAGAGAGAGAGAGAGAGAGAGAGAATAAGACGAGGTTACAAATAAAAACAAGTTGGGAGAGACTTGAAGGGTAGACTTTTAACAAGACCTTGACTTGTTTTTTCCTGTCCACATTGCCCCCTATGCATTATGGCTACTACAATCTTCAACCTACATTTCTTTAGGGTTATAATAAAATATACATCTTTTTAATATTTGATTTTATATATAATTTAAGTAAGTGTTATGTAATGTCTACAACAACTTTGATTATATTTCAACAAAAATATTAGATTTCATGATTGAATGGATTTATGCCTAAGTGGTGTCCTTTTTTATATTGCTAAGTGGTATTTCAATTTTATTTTTTATTTTTTTATAATGATGAAACCATCGGTCAAGATTCATTTATCTTAAAAAACAAATGTGTGTATCAGTCAAGATTCATTTATCTTAAAAGCAAATGAATGATGGAAAGGGATTCAAACAAACAAATCCGTTTTCAACACCAAACCATTTGACATTTTGTTGAATACAACATATCATATCAACAAATGTTGCCATTATCGAATATCTTGGATGCGATTATCAATCCCTTATTATATATGGATAGACCCATGATTCAATATTTTTTTAATGAAGGAGATATAACAAGAGGTTCTCTAGCACAAGGGACTTGATCCATAACAAATAAAACTATAGGATAGCATGCTAATACTTAAAGAATTTATGTCAGGGATTCAATGGTAATTTTCATATAACAACATGAATTAAATCTTGGTAATTTATCAATATATCACTGTCAATCCGATTATTTCCCTTCCTCGTCAGGTAAGTTGGATAAAGTTGTCAATCAAGTGGTAGATGAAAATTTATTGCTTATTTTGTATGTTAAATGAAGTATTTAAATAATAGAAAAATGTTTGTTTGATAAATGTTATAGATGAAAATTTTGAATCACAAAAATGTATCAATTCATAGATTATTTAATTTAATGGAACATAATTATGTATAAAGATGTACATGAAATACTCGAATGATGATATATATGAAAAATAAAAATAAAAATGAAGCTTGTAGATGAAATAATAGAGGGGTGTGTATCAAATAAGAGAGAGGTATAAATATTGGCTTAATTGCAACACGTATTATTTTTATGTGCTTAAAATGTCGATTTATCGTAAGCAAATTAATAATGAGAGGAATGATGGAATAATTGATTTTCTTCATCAATCAAGTAGTACCAACACCACCTTACTTAAACATTACAATCCAAGCTATGATATAATTTGCATTATTAGAACATTGAAAATACACATGTCTTTTTAATAAAAACATCTAAATATAAAAAACCGAACAAGTAGTTGCGTATAAATATATGCAACCAAGTAGTCACGTCATATTACTCTCATGAATAAAAGTGTTTTCTTTTTCTATCTTATAAATGAAGCAACGTTTGATCATATATATATATAATCTGATCATCATAGTATTTTTCTTTATATATCATGAAGTTTTCAACAAATTTATAGTCAAGAAATATTTATACAACATGAGCATATAACATATATTATTTATTCTACTTGTAGTGTGCTGTGGATGCATGTTCTTAGTGGCTATATAAAATGACTTGTATAAAATTATATAACGATAAGAAATAGATTATAGAACAAACAAAAGCATGTGTTTTTCTCGAAAAAGAAAAATTAAATACCTCATGATGAAATAATATAAAGTGAAGACGCTTGGATATGTGAACACGGTAATAACTCAACGCTCTGCTTACGACATACCATACTTCTATATATATATATATATACCACCTAAATAAAAGTCCTATTTTTACACTTTTTTAAAATAGAAAAAAGATTATAAAAAAAAAAAGTTTTATTTATATGACAATACACAACTTTTTAAAAATCTAGATAGAACATATTATGATGTATTTGTTAAATTATTAGTAAAAGAAATGATTTTGTAGAAAAAAGTGTCTTGTGTTATGTCTGGAATTGGATTAGTAAGAAATTAAACTACCATGATGATGATTGTTGTACCTGTATCTGTAGAATCAAAGTGGAGAGATGGAACACAAACTCAACCACTGTTATTGTTATTTTCAAGAAATCTTTAATTAAACTACTTTTTCCAAAAACTATTGACCACATCGGTGTGGTTTTGAAGAGAAGGGTTGATCGGTTGTGTTGTGGTTATGTCTCAGGAGTGGGGTGATTTAAATTTTGAAGCTTCCTTTGAATTGCGAAGTCAAATTTGCTTTCTTGGTGGGGTTTTCTTGTCAAACCGATTCACTGCTGTTCCCATCCAGATTATCTTCTCTCTCTCTCTCTCTCTCTCTCTCTGAATAAGATACCCCCACCTCCATTTCTCGCCTCCAAAAACCTTTCTTCACAATTCCAATTCCACCATCTTTCTTTCTAATCTCCCGAATTTCATCCCTTTTTGTTCTTCTCAATTCACCAATTAGGGTTCTTGATGATGAAATGTTTCAGTATTTTCAAAACCAAGAAAAGAGGGAAATCTTCACCGGAGCTCAGGGAGCAAAACGCATCAACAAAGCCACCTACAAGATTAGTCAAGTCAACAGGATCAATCTCTTCACCAAGAACCATACCAGAATTGTACAAAGAAAAAGGACATAATTTGACCAAGTTTTCCTTTTCAGAGCTCAGAAATGCTACGAATAATTTCAATAGGTTATTAAAGATCGGAGAAGGTGGATTCGGGAGTGTTTATAAAGGCTCTCTTAGACCTCCTCATGGTCAAGGTCCTCCTCTTGTCGCTGCCATTAAGAAGCTCAATAGAAATGGCATGCAGGTACCCTTCTTTTTGTTTTTTGTATTCTTTTATTTATTCGAGAATATAATTCTGTGTGTTATTTTTTTTAATGATTATTGGTATGGATGGTTTTTTCCATAGAAAAGCTCTTCTTTTTCGTATCTATGAATGTTGTGGACAGATAAAAATACGAATTTTCCGGTGATTTTATTCACACAAGTCCCCATGATCTTAATCTGGGTTAACTAGTTTTTTGATAGGATTACCAGAAAGATTGTGTTGCTACTCATCTTTTTGTATTTAGAATTTTCTTGATCCATTGATTCTTTGTACAAGTGTGTAACATATAGAAAACACACAAGTCTCTGGGATTGACTTGGTTCTGGTATTTACTAACCATTTCGGCTTTTAATATGCAACATTTTGGTTTGTTGCTGTACATTGTGCAGGGGCATAAAGAATGGTTAGCAGAGGTTCAATTTCTTGGGGTTGTGGATCACCCTAACCTTGTAAAGCTTTTGGGATACTGCTCGGTAGACGGAGAACGAGGGATACAGAGGCTATTGGTTTACGAGTACATGCCGAACAAGAGCTTAGAAGCTCATCTTTTCAGCCGGACGTTGCCACCGATTCCTTGGAAAACAAGGCTACGGATCCTCCTTGGAGCAGCCGAGGGTCTCGCTTATCTTCATGAGGGTTTGGAGATCCAGGTATAACTCTGTGTTTGTTTCTTTTGGGGGAGGAGAAATCGAACTATATGCTAATGTTTGTTTGTTCTTTATTTTGACAAGGTTATATTTCGTGACTTCAAGTCTTCGAATGTGTTGTTGGATGAGAAGTTCAATGCGAAACTTTCGGATTTTGGTCTTGCTAGAGAAGGACCACAAGGGGACCGCACTCATGTATCTACAATGGTGAGTGAATATTTAGTACAACGTGTCGATTCCAACATTTAATTGCTTTACAGCCTGTTGGGATATGTTGATGCTAACTCGATTGCTGTGAATTACAGCCTGTTGGGACGTACGGATATGCTGCACCGGAGTACGTGGAAACCGGGCATCTCAAGTCGAAGAGTGATTTGTGGAGTTTCGGAGTGGTGTTGTACGAGATCCTATCAGGCAGAAAGGCGATCGATAGAAACCTACCACAATCTGAACAGAAACTGATCGAATGGGTGAAACAGTTCCCGGCGGACAGCAAGAGGTTTCGGATGATGATGGATCCTCGTTTAAAGAATGAATATTCAATGGAGGGGGCGAGGAAAGTTGCGAAACTGGCGAATAGTTGCCTGCGTAGGAACCCTGATGAGCGACCGGAAATGAGTAGGATTGTGGATGTGTTACAAGAGGCAATAAGAGAGTCGGAAGAGGATACCATATCTGGAATGCTGCCCAAGCGGAGAATGGGTGATGTCGCTTAGGTAATTAAAGAGTCGCTGCTATATAGTTTTAATACGACTCCCAACCCAGATTATTTGGATATATATATATATATATATATATATATATGAGAAAATTTATAGGAAAGTTTATGGCAATAAGGCTCGGTAGGGATTTTCCCTGACTGTTTCTGTTTCTGTTTTTTAGGATGAGTACCAGACGAAAGAAAAGAAAAGGAAGTTTCAAATAGATTCAATTTTAGAGGGAGATTGTTGTTTATGTCGATGAAATTGAAAGGGTTTGATTTTGGGTTTCAAAATTTGGAAGGTTTCTTTTATATTTGTATATATATATCATATGAATTATTTTCTTCTTAGCTTCAGTTTTCAAAATGACGAATTTGCCCTTTATGTATCTTTACAAACCACAAATTTCAAACGTTTACCAGTTTACAAAAACAAGCAGACTAATTGATTCAGACGGAAAAACAAACTGTCTGACTGATTCAGATTTCAAACTTCAATACCACCTCTTATAAATCAGAAGTAAAGTCACACTAAAACACCTTTAAAAAAAAATCAGAAATAAAGTCAGACTTTAACACCTTTTAAAAAAACAAACAAACAAACGCAACTTAAAAGACAAATTCTAAACTATATCTTGAGCTATTTTATGGGAATTGACGTCATTTTCTTTTACATTTCAAGGCAAGATGTAATTTGTTATGTGATGATCCAACTAAGCAAGTGACATTGTAAACTCCATATTTGTTTTGTTTTTAATGTAATATTTTATTCAGCTGTTCCTTGGCCTTATTTTCATCTTAGCATGAAACGAAATTAATTAAGATTACAATCATCGCTGACATCAAACAATGTTGCTTACAAGTAATCATCATCGTACATTACTATGTATGTCTTATAATTAAGTCCAAAATCATCAGTTGACATGATTAATGAAATGAAGCCTTACCCCATATATATATATATACACATTCTTCAAACATCTCAAGAGAGATGTATATGTATTGTTCCCATAATCATGGAGAGTAACTTTTTACCACTATTTTCCTTTATCTTCATTCTTGCTTTAACCACCACCACTTTTGTGAATGCCAACCAACCGGAAACCTATATTGTCAGCTTAAACTCCCCTCATGGCATACAGTTTGCTAAACCAGAAGATCGTCAAAGTTGGTATAATTCTTTTTTGTCCCCAACCACTACTGCCTCACATGTGAAACCAAGCATCATTCATGCATATCACCATGTGCTTACGGGCTTTGCAGCCAAACTGTCTGCAGCCCAAGTAAAAGCAATGGAAAATATGGATGGATTCGTATCTGCAAGACCTGAAAGGGTATACAAGCTACATACCACACATACTCCTGCCTTCTTGGGGTTGCACCAAAACTTAGGATTTTGGAGAGGATCAAACTATGGAAAAGGTATCATAATTGGGATTCTAGACACTGGAATTACACCTGGCCATCCTTCTTTTGATGACACAGGACTCCCTGCTCCTCCTTCAAAATGGAAAGGCAAATGTCAAGTTGTGGGGTGTAACAACAAATTGATTGGAGCAAGAGATTTTACTAATTCTGCTTCTGGTTCACCACTCGATGACGAGGGCCATGGGACCCATACTTCTAGTACTGCTGGTGGGAACTTCGTTGATGGTGCCAATGTATTTGGAAATGCCAAAGGCACCGCAGTTGGGATGGCACCGCTTGCCCACGTGGCTATGTATAAAGTCTGTGATGATTTTGGTTGTTCGGATAGTGCCATCTTAGCAGCCATGGATGCAGCTATTGAAGAAGGTGTAGATGTGCTCTCACTCTCACTTGGTGGAGCTTCAGTTCCATTTTATGAGGATGGTATCGCAGTAGGTGCATTTAGTGCTATACAGAGAGGAATCTCTGTAAGTTGTTCGGCTGGTAATTCTGGGCCATTCAATTCAACCTTGTCAAATGAGGCCCCGTGGATTCTCACAGTTGGAGCGAGTACCGTTGATAGAAAGATAAGAGCAACTGTTCATCTTGGAAACAAGGACTTGATTGATGGAGAGTCTTTATTCCAACCAAAGGATTTTTCTCAAAATTTAATGCCTCTTGTTTACCCGGGCTTAAACGGTGGTCAAGATGTAGCGTGGTGTGCAAAAGGATCATTAAAACAGGTGGATGTCAAAGGAAAAGTAGTAGTGTGTGATAGAGGTGGTGGCATAGCAAGAATTGACAAAGGACAAACCGTAAAAGATGCAGGAGGGGCGGGCATGATCCTCGTGAACCAAGTGACGGATGGGGATAGTACAGAAGCCGATGCTCATGTTGTTCCTGCATCACATGTTGGTTATGGTGCTGGTATCGAAATCAAGACATATCTCAACTCAACCTCATCCCCAGTTGCTACCATCACATTTCATGGAACTATAATCGGTGTCGATACAGCTCCACAGATAACTTCTTTCTCATCTAGAGGGCCTAGCTTGGCAAGCCCCGGAATTCTTAAGCCTGACATTATTGGCCCTGGAGTTAGCATCCTTGCATCTTGGCCCGTGTCTGTCGAAAACAAAACTCAAACAAAAGCAACATTTAACATGATTTCTGGGACGTCGATGTCATGCCCTCATCTTGCTGGCATATCGGCATTGCTGAAAAGTGCACATCCTGATTGGTCTCCTGCGGCCATTAAGTCGGCAATCATGACAACAGCAGGTCAGGTAAGCTTAGGTGGCCAACCCATCAAGGATGAGAGAGAACTACCTGCAGATGTCTTTGCCATAGGTGCTGGACATGTTAATCCATCGAAAGCTAATGACCCAGGACTTGTTTTTGACATTCAATCAAATGATTACATACCTTATTTATGTGGTCTAGGATATACAAGCAAACAAGTTGGAGTCATTGTGCAAAAGAGAGTTACGTGCTCGAAAGTAATACCAGAAGCACAACTTAACTATCCTTCCTTTGCGGTTACATTAGCAGCTGGTGATGAGAAAACCTACACAAGGACGGTGACTAATGTCGGTGAAGCTAATTCAACTTACACCGTAAAAATTGATTCGGTACCAATTGGTCTAACTTTAGGTATTGGCCCTGCGGAACTCAAATTCACCCAACTGAACCAGAAGTTGACATATGATGTCTATTTCATTCGGGATAGTAAGTCTGAGGTGAAAACTTCTTACGCACAAGGGTCTATGACTTGGAGTTATGGTAAATACTCGGTTAGAACCCCGTTCTCAATCAGGTTTGTGTGAGATTTTCGTTACTTTTCATCCTTCATGTGGCTTTGGTTCCAATAAAATGGTTGCCCGTCCTTAATATATTTCTTGTTCTTATATCTATATAAACAAGCCCAACCACACTTGATCTTGATTTTCTTTCAAGCATTATATCACAGGCTATGCATTATCTTCCCATTGATATGTTGGTTGTGATGGTGTATTCTTTTAGCTATTTCATGATCTTGACTAAGCCAGTACTGTTAATTGCTACATCAGTTTCTACTTAATCTTCAGTAGTACCTGCAAGCAGAGACTAGAGTTTTGTTTTGAATTATATTATATATATATATATATATATATATATGTATATATTACAAGAGTTGCTTAAATACCAACTAGGACTTTCACTAAGAAGGTGGATCTGCCATAAATTAACCAAGTAGGTAACTCCTTCTAGCTGAGTGTGGTTAACTAGTCCAATCCATGCAGATCCTGATGCAACCACAAATAAACATGTATCGCTATATATCAGTACACAAGAATTATAAGTTTTCTAATATATATATATATAGAGAGAGAGAGAGGCTCTAAAAAACAAAACGATCTTGAACTTTTTTTCCTCTAGAGTGATCTTTTTCTGATATTAATTGCAAATATCATCATAAGAATTGAAAAGGGCAAGGAGCATTAAAAATCCTTCTTCTTATAGCTAAGCCAGCCACTTGAAATATAAATACACAGCACGTACAGATACTTACGGGTTGGATAAGTTGGAAGGCTCTCCACTTCCCTTGACGGGGCTAGGAATCACATTCTCAGATGAATCTGTACTTGACTGCACCATAAAAACTAGTTGAAATAATACAATAAGGAAACCATTAAAAGAATGAGAACAATTATGGTATAATTACCGTTTGTTCATGGGAGCTTTGCAGCTTATAAAGTTGAATATTATGAGATTGGACTTGACGTTTCTTCTTTTCATGTATAAGGACGATTACACATTTACACGTGAAAAACAACAGTATCATGGTCAAAGAAGACAGTACAATGAGTTCGAGCACAATCACCGACTCAACAGCTGTACATCATGCAATCCAACAATCGTCACTTGACAGGGAAGTTACACTCTAAAAGTAGTAATACATTGATATCTCTTTCAAGTAAACTTACAATGATCTACCATCGGAGTCACAGGCATCCTTGTTATCAAGTTAACAGTAGCCTCAGAAATTAGAGGCACTGACATCATTTCTGCACAATCTGGATAACACCCATACCACCCCATATCATTAACATTCACCCTAAGGACTCCACCATGTTCATCACCCTGTACTAGCAAAAATTCACACACAGTATAAATTTTGCATCAAAGGGTACAGGAATCTCCAATGTGAAAATGCCTTATTAATGATTAAAAAAATATAATACCCACATAGTAAAGCAGTTGTTGGAGAACATTGTTGCAGTCATTAATTGTTCCCCGGAATCTTATGCCTTTCGCTTTGACGGTAAAATGTCCTGAGATTTCCACAAATGTTTGAAGGGGTTGCCACTGCTTGCTATTCTTCAACTTCAATTCAGTTGTGCTTATTAGCTCAGCTGGTAGCTTGGTTGAGAAAAATCCAGAACTAACTTCCAAAGAAAACATGACCCGAAAGAGACTCTCATTGCCTGCAACTTCAGCTGATTAGACATCCAAAGCTTCAACTTTTTCATGTTACATAGACTACAATTCATGCGAGCTGAAAGTATTCAACACCTAATCAGCCAGCAAGATCTTGGTAGAGGCCCAAGGACTTTCCCTTTCCTCTGAAAGGTCCGAGGTTTAAGTCTCACATGACATACCCAATTAGACACAGGAAAAGGTCTAAAAACAAGCAGAGATATATAGAGAACTGTAATGTACCTGGGAAGTGAAGATGATCTGGATCCCCAATGGAGAAGTTAAACTTGTCTAGTTGTCTATCAAAGATCAGGATTCCTTTGTCTTCTGTCTCATTCTTCAAGATGATGAACTCAGGTACATTTATGAAAGGAGGATCATTGATTGGTTTGACAGAGACTGGAACATCCAAATTGTTTCTTCCATTTTTGTTGATGGTAGAGACCCTGATAGAATCAGTGCCACTGAAGTTCTCATCTCTGCTTCATAAATAATATATAGTTAATATTTAAGACACCCACCATTAAATATATGCAACTTTATCACCAATATTCACTCGTTCATCCACAAGAACAGCCAATAAAATCCATCTTACATGTACGAAGAAAATAATATGACTCAATACTCAAAGTAAAGCGAAAAATAGATAAACCATATGTTGGATGTTTAGTACCCTATGTATTGGAGCGACTGGAGGGCGAAGTTGATCACTTCCAAGCGACCAACTAAATGTAAGTCTTCAGCCCTCCCTTCCATTTTACTGACTGAAAGTTCACTCCACATGGGATCCCAAAGTTGCATCGGTAGAGGAGAAAGAAAGACGGTCCCATGTTGTGCACTGAGCATAACCGAGATGTTCTCTAGGGTGGCTGAATATGTGATCTCAAAGCCAGGAAAACCACTGTGAAAAAAGACTATAATACATTACGAATGCAGAATCTCCAGCCATATAATTTTTCTACGGTAATAATATCAACTAACATTTTGGAAATTCTAAAACAGTAAAACACCTTACCCAAATTTAGGACCGAGTATATCTTCATTTGCTTGCAACTCACTTGGAAAAGAAACAAACTGTGGGGGAATGCAGAGGACATATACGTTCACAAAACCAGACGCGATGTTGCCATTTACATCTGATATTGTGTACAGGAATGAATCATTTCCGTAAAATCCCTTATATGGTGTATATCTGAAGAGATTTCCATACTGCAAAACTGAACCATGACCTGCCTGCCAACACAATGTATGACACTAAGTCTTACCCAGCAACAAAAAATTTCATGTAATTTTGTGATAAGCAATGGGTTAACAATAGGAATCACTGGAGGAGTTGCAGAAGCTGTCAGAGGGTTCAAATCATACCTTCTGATATTCAATGACTGTTGCATTTCCGCCGGCATAGAAATCGTTTCCTACGGCATTAAAAGCTATGGATTCATCCTCCCATACAGAGACTGTATCGTTGTAGGCTATGGGGAAGTAATCACCTGAAGAACATAAGAAGTTATAGGATATACAGACACGAAGCTGATAGTGCGAAATATACAGACATAAATGGAAGTATATTGAGATGAAATGAACTGTTGACACAATAAGTGTCTAAATAATCAAATAAAGTAACTCATATGAAAAATAGCCAAACAAGTATGCTAGTAGTTGTATACGGTAAACATATTGATACAGTAAACTGCACATGAACTTCATTTAATGTATTGACGTCTAATTTACACTTACGGATGTACGCATTTACCCCAAAGGGACAGGGCAATAAATGTGTTACATCGAATGTAACACACATCTCATAAATTCCAACTTCCATCAGTAGGTAGGAGCCCGTGTACGTCCCATCTTTGTTGTCTACGAACAAGAAGACTGTGAAAGATGATCTGTTGATTGAAGCAATTTGCAGGAACAAATTTGATGCTTGTAACAAGACTGGGTTAGAAAAAGAATCCATCAGTTGCACCACTATATCATTTACAATCAACCTTGAGACCTTTGGTGCAAAATTTACAATTCTTGATATGGATGAATTGACCTTGCCTGCACCAAATTAAGTAACATAGTACATTATCAAAATAAAAACATAACTAAGTTGTTCATTGAATAAATCAAATGTCGCAATTGATAGTTTCTCAGCCGTACCATACAAACATAAGATAAATACAAGAGGAAGTGTCACTTGAATAACTAAATTCAGACTAACAAAATACCTGCACTTACTGCCTTTATATATGGAATACCATCATTCAGTGGAATGTTACCACAAAATACACGAATTTCATATACCCCGCTCTTTTCAGGCACATAAAGGACATCAAAGGCACTACTCATTGTTTTCCAGTTCCGAGCTGACTAAAAATAAGAAACAAAAGGTATCATTAATTTTAATTTCTACAAGGTAACACATTGAAAGCAACATAAGAACTACTTATTACATTGTTATATGGGTACACAGATGGAACTGAAGCAATTCCAGTAGGATCAAATGGACCATAATCCAGTATTCCAGTTGGCCGAGTACCTGTTGATCAATCTTTGAACGTTCTCATCAATGTATAACTTGGATATGAATTAAATTTCCAGAAGATGAGATAGAGAAATTGTTATACCATCGACAGAATCCATTGGAGATATCTGTGGATACAAGCGAAGCGAGAGTGAAGGCAGTGTAATATGTACTTGAAGCCTTTGTAACTCGAGTGGAGAAGGATATTGATAAGCATCCCTTAACAAGATAGAAAACTTGGAAACTTCCCCAGCAACAGAGTTATTTAAACCAGATCCATTGACAATACTGGCGAGTCCATCGACATAGCCTAATCAATATTGAGCAGTAGCATAAATTTCAGAAATTATTGGTACATAGAATACAGGAAAATGATGACAAACATATTAAAGCACACCTATGTAGACGTTAAATTCGTAGGGCATATTCAAGATCTGGTTCTTCTTATCCTTATCTGAAATCATGAGGATGAAATCCCCTGGTTCAACTAGCTTGAAAGAAAATGACTGAATACCCGGCAATACCTCATCATATTGCAAGTCACCAATGGGCAAAGACAAGTTTGTACCCTTCTCCATCACATCAAAATCAAATGCACACAGTCCTGGAACAAGGTTCCCAAATTTATCTCGCTGGTTTATAAAAGTTTCCATTGTAGAAAATAGCTGAAAGGATTCTGTTTCAGTGCTCCACTCTGGCAAACAGTTGCCAACATCAAGTGCATCTGTTCATGAAATTTTAGAAAATCAATGATAGGAACAATATGATCATAGATAACACTATTTGATCGCATGAACATCATACTTCCGCTAATGCAGATGCTTAGCCTGTGATACCCCCTACTGGAGATACCATACAACTCTGAGTTCTTATTCCAATCTAATAGAAATATCAATTTTTGGCATTCTCTAGTTAGTGGACTAATCATAGCATAACCTTGAAGGAGAAGAAAAAAGCAGTGAAATTTGTAGTTAATCACTGCCAATGGAATTATTTCAAAGTAAAATGACAAAGTTGGAAATACTTCTGAAAGGATAAAGCTAGCCATAATGCAGGCTAATTGTAATCAATCATTGTTCATAACTAAAGAAACTGACAGAGTTGGACATACTTCTTCAAAAGCGCTTCCAGCCATAACGCAAGCTAATTTATCTTTGGTTGGTTTTCAATTAAGTACAGCATGGATAAAGTTGTATGTGTTAATTAACCTGTCTCTATAGATTGGGAGGATTTTTGTTTGGGATGGTTTTTTTCATAGAAGGAAGGTGAACTAAAATACCCACATGCATATATGATCGAAATAGACAAAATTAGGTGAACTTGTTGAGCATATGAGGTGAACTAAAATACCCACATGCATATATGATCGAAATAGACAAAATTAGGTGAACTTGTTGAGCATATGAGGTGAACTAAAATACCCACATGCATGCATGCATGCATTATCACATGTATACAAACAAACACACAAACAGTGAGAAGGGGGGGTAGAAACCACTGTTTTGTATTAAAACGAAGAGAAAAAAATGAGATAGGCAAATCTATGAATATGATAGACATAAACCACCTGGGTCAACTGTGAAAGGCAATGGGGAACCAATCAAGGTTTCGTTTTTTTGTTTTACGTGAGCTAAGAAACTTCCTGCCGTGGTTAAAGTAAACTGAATGCAGAGATAACCAAATCCATTCCATCCTTGGTTGCTGACATCCTGCAGAATTACGTTGGAACCATTTGCATATGTTGCATATACCTCAAAACCGTCGATGTTTCTGCCTTCACTTAGAGATGTAACATTGTTTCCAAAGGCATCCTTGGGCAGTATGAGGAGTGTAGCTTTCATGCCAGCTACAAAATTGTTGAGTTGACCCATCCATGACACAATGCCACCAGGTGAATAAATTGGACCTTCAGTTTGAAAAAGACGTTGAAATTGAAATCTATTGATTGATTGGTTGATAAAAGAAAGAGAGAATGAAAAGAACCTGGTGTGACATAATAATGCATAGAGGCATCAAAGACATTGAAATTCTCATCGGTGATCAGGACATTGAACAATCCGACCATGATGGGCATAAACAAAATCCTCCAATTGTTCAAATCAGGATTGAAAATGGAAGAAACAGCAGTGATGTAACTAGTGTTTCCCATCTTGTCATTGACAGAGATATTGGGATTAAAAGGATGTTTGTATGCTCCGATGATGTAGTTCCCCAATATTGTAACATGAATAGTTGCAGTATCACCTGCTCTAAATTCATCTTTATAATCCAATAAATTAAAAGTAAAAGCAGGCAATCCATCATCTGCATGCAACAAAAGAAATTAATTTATAATTAGTTGCTGTTGGGCTTGTGTGAATTAAAATTGGGAGGATGATGAGTGTTAAATTAAGTATGGGTTTTAAACCTAGTGAATGATTGATTAATTAAGAAGTGAGCATTCAGTTTTTATGGATTTGGCAGTAAATGAAATGGAAGGGAAGAGAAGAGAAGAGACCTGATTTAGTTAAATGAGGAAGCAATAGCATGATGAAGAGAGAGAAGAGGAATTGAGGAGCCATGGATGGTTTTTGATCAATGGAGAAGTTGCAGATGTAGAGGGGCGGTTAATTGGAATTTGGAGAGGGTGGGTTTAGTTACTTTCAATTCATTAATAAACTTAACTGATGCAAATATTAAATATTAAATATTAATTAATTATTAAAACTAGACAAATTATTTTAGTTTTTGTCTCATTCTTGTTCCATCTATTTTAGTGAAACAAGAAAAAAGCTTTCTTTGTCTCACATTGTCCCGGTTCTATGTGTCGCACCAAACGTGGAATAGTGAGCCCTTGTCCTATCACATGTTACGCCACCGTGAATTTTGTCACATTCTATGTACCAAACGCAACCTAAATGCACATGATATATTAATTTTTAGTTCTTAATCAACAAACATTTTGTAATGTCACTTGTTCAAAAAACATTAATTTATGTTGATGGTTAATATGTTAAGTTTTAGTTTATTTAAAGCTAGAGATTGTGATAAAAAGTAGTCAATTATTATTGTGAGCAAGGAATGTTAAAAGTAAAAATAATATTAAATAAAATAAAATAAAAAACAAGTTTGTTTTTCGATGGCATTGGCATGCAGTGAAGTTGCAACATTGAAATAATTAGCTACCACACCAAACTCAAACTCAAACTCAAACTCGATAATTAATTGATAACAACAATCGATCTTTACGATTTCAATATTCATACCAGTGATTTGGAGATCTTTCTTTTATTGACATTTTTGAAATGCATAATTAAATAATATCAAACTAATATATGTATGTAGTCTTTCCCAACCCTCGATGATCGTAGTATTATTATTATTATTATTATTATTATTATTATTATTATTATTATTATTATTATTATTATATGGAAAGATTACAACCACCAAAACTACTTGAAAGTAGAACACGTCTTTGGTTGAGTTAAAGCAAACCATTACATTTTTATTTGGTTTCTATATTCACATGGCAGATGAAAATACAACCAAATATTTCAAACTTCCACTCTAATTACTTTTTACTTCCAACAGCTATCATCACTACTACAGATTCCATTTCATTTAAACATCTCTTTTATATATATATAGAGAGAGAAAAACTCATTCAAAGAATAACTAATTAGTTTATAGTAATCGTGAGATCCAATGTGAACCACTCGTTTAAGATATTTTTTAAATAAAAGAGTAATATAGTAATTCTATTTTGGACGACTAATCAAAATATTTAATTAATTTTTTAGAAGAAAATAATATATTAATTATCTCATATACATCACATTTTAAAACGTTGGTGAACCAAAATGTATCATAATGATAACGTTCACAATTTATTTTATGGAATATATCATGGTGTTCATTCTCGTTATTTTTATTGTTTTACAAAGGATATCACATTGTACATCTTGTATGTATATCTTGTGTTCACATAAGGTTCATCGGAATAAGGTTCGTCAAATAAGATTTGTTGAAGAGATGAGAGATGATATTTATAAAATCCTTAAAATGCTCTTAATTAATATTTGAAGTTAAAATTACCAAAAAATTATTAATTTTCTAATTTAACCTTTAATTTATGGTTGAGATTGAATTTCACGATTAACACAAACAAAACATTAGACCCCTATATAAATAATATATCATAGTGTGATGTTTAGAACCATGTGTTAATTTCCAATCATCATCCTTTGTTATTGAAGCAATTAATATTTATCAACTAAGAGTGATATGTACATATGGAGTCCCAAATAGTTAGGAATATACAACTGACATTATACAAGTGTGTGATGTGATATGTGATGTAAAAACTGAAAAGGAAGTGGCAGTGCATGAAAGTACTTTACTGGGTTTTGTTTTAGCAAGTTATGTATATATATATGGATGGACACTTTCAACATCACATGCCATGATGGCATCAAATTAACAACAACAGGATATATATATATATATATATATATATATATATATATATATATATATATATGCATTTTGCATTTATATGTTGACAACCACCTCTTTTCAATCCAATTATATAATATCATCTTGACTTCCTTTTACTTATGACCACCCTTATTACAATTTTCATATTAGAATTCCAGGTAGCTAAATTATAAGCTTTATGTATCTTACATGGCTCTTCAAGACTTCTCACCAACCAAAGTGAGTAAAAGATGAAAGTGAAGCAATTAATTGGTACAATTATGCATGCATATATAAAGCACATACATATCCTCAAAGTACATCTTCCTAGTAGTGAAATTGGACCAAATAAAATGGAATATTGGACCACATCTACAGTAACTTACCTTATTCATTCAAGGAGCTACCTACTGTAGGTGAATCAATAATACAATCATCTACACAAACCAAATAAAAAATAAATATTAAATCCACGTATATATCATAATAAGCACTTGAGTTATCCAAATTTAAATCAACTTTCAAACTCTTCTGCAGTACAGCAAGTGTTTGTTCTAGGAACAAGAAAGCGATTCAATTGTTAGCACTGCACCAAATATTTCTCTTTAATTTAACATAGCACCATATATTTCTCTTTAATTAACATAGCATTCTACAGATGGATGTTGGGGGTGGGGAGGAGAAAAAGGAATCAAATGTCTCGTTTTCTTTCTCCCCCACCCCACCACTCCCATCCATCATATGTCTCATTCTGGTCCCTATATGCATGTGTAACTTGGAGAGAAGCAATTCACATACCTAACAAACTTTTTAAACCTTTATCACAAAATATATATAGCAAGACAATCACTATTTAGCCAGCCATCCCCCCCTGCACTTGTGGACTATTTGGCTCTTCATCATAGCCATCTGCCAACACAGCTCCTGCCTTCCATCTCCTCCTGACATTCACTAAATTATGCTTCTTGTGCCTAACTTTATAAAATTACCATTATCAAGGCTAATTAACCATCAATGTAAACTGTTCTGTTCAATATTAAATGCCACTCACATATGATATACTTGATGCCTGCTTTTAAAAATTATAACACATCAACTATATATAAAAATTGCACACCATAGAATCTAAATATTAAAACATACATGTAACTGTAAGGCTTCCTACCTAGAATCTGGAAAGTGAACCAAATTCAAAAATGTCTTGCTCTTCAGTTAATAACATCTTCATGGTTTTTCTTCAATTTGCCAGGAAGGTGAATCTGAATGGTCCTTTAGCTGACAAAGACTTAAAGATATGCTTGGATTTCAACTTCATTAAATGAATTTTAGCTACATCGGCTTAAAAGGCGTCATAGTTAGGCTTTTTAAGGTAAGACAAGATAATGTTGACCAACACTAGAACAAAGAAATTTGGTGCTCTATCTAGTAAGGATGCCAGTGACTCGACCAATCACTACACATATAGTAGTTTTTGGTGATCATCATGTTAGGCCATAAAAACAGCCTAAATTATCATTTCACCACATGATCTTTTATCCAAAGAGTTTTTCGCTATTCCAGACAACAATATGAAAGAAAAAGAATGAAAAAACAAGTGATGTGGGGCAATGGATGCAAGTTGTGTGGTTTAAGTGAGTGAAAGATTTCTAAATTGCAATTAGTGGTTGGTGCAGTATGCTATTTCTCTTCCAAGACATAAAGGGTCTCAACTTTCCAATTTATCAATCTAACGAAGAAGTGTGAAACAAGATTCAGGTATGTCATCTTTTGAGACCAAAAAGCATTCAATGGCACCCACAAAAAGAGTGTGATCTTGAAAGATGGTTCTGTTTTGCCTAACCAACTGTATCATGAGAGTTGTTAAGATGGGATGTAGTTGGATGGTGTAATCTCGTCCATGATTTAGATGAAGTAAGCAGCAATCAATTTTTCTAAACAGTTACTGGAAGTGGGGATAACTTTCATTAATGACAATTGATTTGTCAGCAATTTGCAATTCGTCGTAACCAAAACCACATGCACGGTTTTTCATTTAAGTGTGATAAGGAGACTTTTTGTGGAGATAACATGTTACCACTTGAGTGCTTGTGAACTACTCATGTGCAGAGAGAGAGATGAAGTGTTTATGCACGTCTATGTGTCTATGCATCAACTACCACAAACATAACTTTCTAATTCCTAAATTGTAAATGCAATCATCACCCTTAGAAGTGTTTATACGTGTTCATGTGTCTATGCAACATAATTTATGCAAAAAGTCTTGATGTTAGCACTTGTGAAAGTTTCTACAGTCCCAGATACATAAGTAAGACCCGAGAAGCTCATATAGAGAAATTTTACCGTAATGTATTCAAGAAATAGCCAAATAGGCATTCAAATTGGTAAGATGAATTCGTTATATGGCAATGAAATGTTTAACTAAAAGAAGCAGAAATTGCATCATAAATACAAAGCAGAGGAATATGCTCCACAAAAATGTCAAAATTGTGTGTTATGGTGAACGAATGTGTTATAAGCATGCATGCATACATACAGCTACACATAAATCGATCTAGTATCTTATTCATGTAGGAGATGTTGAAGCAGCTCTCCTCCCTTCAACCGATGCTTTTAGCATGTACTCCAACATGACAGCATGTACAGTAATACAATGCCGTATAATAAACTGAACTTACATAACCAAGAAAGTAAGTTCTAAACCAAAGTGCTGCAAGTTTTATAAGGTTACAGAGAAAATAATCTCAAGTATGACAACAGAGGAACAGAGAGAGTTATTTGAAATAAAACAAAATTCAAAAAGAAAGCAAGAAAGATAAGATGTACATAGAAAGGTTGCTATTATACCTTTGTGAGTCAAGTGGCAACCTGATACTATAAATGGATATTTTTTTACCTTGGATGTCAATCTAGTACAGGAATCTCAGAGAGAACATAGTGAAAATTCTGCCTGATCACTATGGAGAGTTCATCCTACAATGTATGACATGGACCTGAACCTGATTCCCCACTTCTTCATCACTTTGAGCCATATATGCTACTCAACAACAGGAAAATGTGACATGTTTTCATTACAAAATGGAAGTTCTATAGTGGTCCTTGAGAAAAAGAAGACATCCTTATTTTGTGCATATAGTGCTTAAGGTTCACATTGTTCACGCTCTGAAATTGAAGCTTGTCACATGCTGCATCCGGTAAGATAGCAACATAACACTTCCATTAAAGATGATTATTTCATCATCTAATGTAAGACCCTCCAGATTTACGGGGTCATGGAGGAGGAATATGGAATCACTAAAAGTTTGCCACCATGTGAGGGTTAAGATTGCATCTTTTGACATCTGATCTAAGTATGAGAGGTTCATTACTTCTTTAACAATTAAAAGTAGTTTTTAATAAAACAACCTCTCTTCAAACCTATAGTAAAACGAATAAAGCAATATTTCTGTACAATAAACTTGTACAAGACCAACCAAGCGATCATGTCTCTTGGAGGCCTTAAGACACCATGCATCTAGGGTGTGTGTATGTGTGTATACATACATACTCCATGAAGGTAATATTAGCATACTGCACCATAATGATGACACTAACATTACTGGGAAGAATAGTGTTTTATGTATTAAAACATATCATATTTGGAGAAAGTAAAACGTCAGAAAAGCATTATGTTGATGTAAATCTCATTCATCTTTACATGGTCTAAATACATTCTTAGATTCTAAAAGTACCTGTCCCTTGTTTCATTGACATCCAAGGTAGCCCTGCCACCTTTCACCACTATAAAACCATGCCAAATTCTTTATAAGCACTGACAACTCTGCCTCTGTCCACTACCTCTCTCCCTGCTTTCTAGCATCACTTTTTTTATCTGTGCGTGAGTTTATATGTATGCATGAAGACATCAATGTCTTCTATCAAATCCTGTCTTTGCATCAGATACAAGCAAATGATGCCAGAGCAAACTCAAATCAATCCGATACTTCCCATGGTAAGGACTCCTAACCCATGAGACTTCGTATTGTTTACAGATAGATGTATTAACACTTAAGTTATGGACTCCTGTAGGTTATGGAGGAAATGAAGATGATGACAACAATAGGCTTTCCTCTATTCACCATGGGATTGGTGGGTTATCTCAAAAATATGATTGCAGTTATATGCATGGGAAGGCTGGGGAGCCTTGAGCTAGCAGGTGGTGCACTAGCAATAGGGTTCACAAACATTACTGGCTACTCGGTTCTATCAGGTCTTGCTATGGGGATGGAACCCCTTTGCAGCCAAGCTTTTGGTTCAAGGAACTTACACATGGTTACTTTAACACTACAAAGAACAATCCTCATGTTATTGTTCGCGTCGCTACCCATTGGGATGCTATGGGTTAACCTTGAGCCACTCATGCTTAAGCTACGCCAGGACCCAGAGATTTCACACATTGCTAGTCTGTATTGTCGATATGCTGCCCCGGATCTTATTGTTAACAGCCTCCTAAATCCTTTGCGTATCTTCTTACGAAGCAAAGGATCAACATGGCCACTGATGTGGTGTACTTTACTTGCAACAGTTTTACACTTTCCCATCACCAACACCTTGGCCTTCACCCTTCACCTTGGGGTTCAAGGGGTTGCACTCTCCACCTTCATCACCAACTTGAGTACATCAGTTTTCCTTCTAGGCTACATGTTTTTCGCCCATGCCTCCAAGGAGGCTTTGTCTGAACCAACCATACGAGAGTCAAGATCTATAGCTATAGAAGGTTCACTAGGGGAGGGGTGGGGTATGCTAATTCGACTCGCTATATCAAGCTGTTTAGCTGTTTGTTTAGAATGGTGGTGGTATGAGTTCATGACACTTGTGGCTGGGTATCTTCATAAACCTCACATTGCGCTAGCTGCATCTGCTATAGTTATCCAGACAACATCTCTTATGTACACATTGCCGTCAGCACTTAGCATGTCGATATCAACCAGAGTAGGCAATGAGCTTGGATCAGGCCAACCAGGTAAGGCCCATCTGGCAACATTAGTGGCCATAGGACTGGCACTCCTAACTTCAGTGTTTGGCTTGTTGGGGATTACCTTGTGGAGAGAAGCATGGGGGAAAGTCTTCACAAATGACAGCGAAGTTTTACAGCTAACAATGGCTGCTCTACCCATAATTGGAGTATGTGAATTAGCTAATTGCCCACAAACCACATGCTCTGGGGTCCTTCGTGGAAGTGCAAGACCATCCACTGGAGCAAGAATTAACTTCTGCTCGTTCTACTTGGTGGGTACACCAGTAGCCATAATTTTAGCTTTTGTGTGGAAGCTAGAATTTTTGGGGATCTGTTATGGGCTTTTAGCAGCTCAGATGACATGTGTACTCTCAATCTTGACTGTGATATACAGGACAGATTGGGAGCGAGAATCATCAAATGCAAGACAGTTGGTGGGAGGAAGAAGTGAATGCACATATGAAGGTCAAACTATGGAATGCGATCAAGGAGTTGGGTTTATTTAAAAAGGCAGATCTTGAGCAGTTAACACACATTTATGTACAAAGAATCTGGTATTGGTAACCCAAAAAATGATATCATCTTTATATTACTGTGTCGTACAACATATGGAAAGTACTGTAGACAGAGCAAGAAAGTATGTACTAATAGCTCCTACCCACATCAAAGGCGAAGAGAAACGTGTACTCGGATGACACGATGAGATGTAAAATTTTATTGTAAACCGAGAATAAAAACTCAATGCAATTTAAAAAATGTGAAATTTATTTTTAAACAAAAAAGTTACAATCAATTGTAATCATACACAAATGTACATTCAAAATAATATTAGTTATTACTCTAAACATTTCTGCAAAAAATGTCGAATTATTATCACTGATTGTGAACAAAAAAGTGATAAAGAGTGTCAGCAATACTATCACCAAACTCGTATCGGAACAGTATGAACTATGATTTCTACAATTTCTTGATCTAAAAACCGTTGATCAGCATTTTGGCTAGAACTTGTAGCTAGATATGAAACAGACAATGTCCATTTACATCTATTTTTTGTAAATGAAACTTGTGAAGCATTAGTGCCAAGTCATTGCTTCAAATGATACATCATGTCCAATACTTCAATGGTTGTTTTTACTAGCCGGCTACATCATTTACATAATCATAATCCTATTTTGGGCTAGCTACCAAGATGTTTTGTACATGAAACTTGTGCTGCATTATGCTTCTTCATGTTTTAGCTAAGAGGTAGATTAAATATGTTGACTGTCTAACATTTAATTAAGACCATTGACAAGTCTATTGATCATAATAGCTCGATAATAGTTTGAAAGTGCCAGCGAATAGATGAAGGAATATTTCTGGCACGTTTTTCCTCTTGTGGTATATATATATATATATATACACACACACACACACACATATATATATACTAGGTTCAATCCCGTGTATTACACGGGGTATTTTAAATGAGAAAAATGAGTTGAGACTTTTCCTTGGGTCGAAAAGAAAACACTGAACATTAACTCTGAAACACAAAAATTCAGAGTTCTATTGTTAGGTTGGAAAATAACTCTGGACTTAACTTTGAATAATAGGAATTCATAGTTATCTTCTAAGTCTAGAAAGTATCTATGAGCATAACTCTGAGTCACAAGAATTCTGACTTCTTATAACTCATAAACGTAACTCTGAAGAGGAGTTTAGAGTTGTAAGTCTGGGAATAAACTATGGAACTAAGTCTGGAACAGAACAATTCAGAGTTATGTTGTAAGTCTGAGAAATAACCAATATATGATAACTTCATGTTGGTGATTTGTATCACTAATGTCATTTAAGTGTAATGGGATTAAATGTTGACCAATGTAATCATGATAAATATTGAACAAGTAAGGAAGGTGCAGAGTGCACATTAGTTTGGGTTTATTTTGATTTAGGGGCGAAGCCCCTAAACGACGGGGGTCCAGAAGCAGCAGCCCCTGGCTGGGGTCGAATTTGAAAAATGTTTTGTGAAAAATGCTTCAAAATCCAAATTTGAAATGTTAAATAGGGTTTTGATGACCACTCCAGAGTTAAATTCAGACTTACAACTCTGAATTTTCACTGAGCTCTCATGCAGAAGACATCAAGAGACAGAGCTCTTACTCAAGAGTTAAGTGTCTCATATACAGAGCCCGTGCTGTATTCCAAGGAAGATCAAGGCTTAAATGCCAAAAAGGTTAAGTGCTTGATGCAGAGCTTCACTCCAGACACTGAGCCTCTACATAGTACATGCAGAGCCTCTTATTATAGTCCTTAGGACTTAGTCTTTTGAAGCGAGCTGGACCAAGAACTCTCATGTAGAAGACATCAAGAGACATAGCTCTTACTCAAGAGTTAAGTGTCTCATATACAGAGCCCGTGTTGTATTCCAAGGAAGATCAAGGCTTAAACGCCAAAAAGGTTAAGTGCTTGA